GCATTATCAGTAAAAAGTGGGTGAATTTTTAGTGCTTTCTGTTTATATCATAGGAGAAGACTGAGAGGATTATGTGGTTTTGCAGTGACATGTGGGATAAAGGGCAAAGTGAAAGGAGTTTTGATTTTTATGTTTTGTTGGCTTCCTGGTAAGTGCCCATTAGCTCTTTATTTTAACATGCATTAAATCTAACTAATGGATATCAAACCAGCTTAGAAAAATGGCAGTTATAAAGCAATTGTAATAAAGACTTCAAGAGCACAACTGTGCCAAAATATTTTTTGTGTGCCTTAAACTCATGAAAGCTCCGTGTTTATGGAGAAATGAAGTTGCATAGATGGGAGAGCAGAGATTGCAGACAACGTGAGGGGAATTAGCAGCCCTCAGCATGCTTTGGGATTGTCTGGGCTACAAAGAACTGGGCTGATTCTCAGATTCCAGAGTGATTTGAGGGGGACATTTGTTTATGACTGTGCTTATCTGCTTACTCATGCTCAGGGCAGCTATCTCTCTTGTTCTGCTTTTCTTTTTCCTTAGTGTGTACAGATGGAATGATATATGGCGAATCTAGCAAAATCTCTTTGCAGTCTTTTGCAAGGGGAAGCAATTCATTTTAAAATTGACAAACAAAACTGAATGTACAGGTATAAATTATCTCCCTTTGTTTCCATTCCCCCAGGTTCTGTAAGGCATTTTTTTTTGCCTATCCTGTAGAAACTTTAATTAATCCAAGGGGAATATTTTCCATAAGGTTTGCTTTCAAGCATTTCTCTCATGTGTCTTATCCATGGTTAGAAAAAAAACCATCTCATTTGACAAAATAACATCTGGGAGGTTACAGTCTGTGGGAAATCAAAGGGAATGCATTGGGAAGTTACAGATTCTGGAGGTCTTGCCTTTTATTGATAGATCTCCTTCATCATGCCATCCATTAATTTTAACTCAGGTGATATATGAACTCTGCACGTTAGTTAATGAAGGCTAATACACAGTAATCTTGTAATCACTAGCTGTGCATGGTAATTCAGTCTGCTGCTCAGAAGAGCTGTTCAACATGCAGCAAATTTGATTTAATATTGACATGATGTACTAGGTTTGGTATTTTATTTAACATACCATGTGCCTTATTTGATGAGAAATGGTTATCTTTCAATAGGTTACATACCTGAGTCAGGCCAGGTGTGTAGTTTAATGCAGTTATATCAGATATATATCAGTTATATCTGCACTGGGTATTCATCCTGTGATACACTGCACAGAATGGGGCAAATTTCTGAGTTTGGGCACTTTATGCATTCATTTAATGTTGTCAGTGTGCTTGAGAGCAAGCCCTGGAGAGCAGGAAAGTTAAGGTGATTCTTTTCTCAGGCACTGAAAGCAGAAAGTCCCTCCTGCCCTGTTTACACTGGTTTAACCTACTCTTGGAGCTTCATCACCACCAGCAGGATCTGATGCAAAATTGACAGAGTACAGATTGAGGGTCTTGAGTGTGACCTGGAGGAGTTTTCTCAGTGTTTCTGGTCTGTAGTAATTGCTCCTAGCCTCTGTTTGGGTAGGATATAGAGCTGTAGATATGGTGTGGTTAATACTTTGATTTCCACACAAGACACACATCCTGTGGGCCAGATTAGGGAGGCAGTACTTTCTCACTTAAAGCCAAACAATACCACCTTCAATCCTCATGTGTGTTAGAGCTGTGCTCTCTGCCACTGTAAATTTGCCTAATTTGTGTACTATTAGGGGCTAGATACAGGGATATATTGCCTTTATTTTAATATAAAGTACATGAAGATGTATCTCCATGTAAAGGACATAGAAGCGTGGCAGTATTTACTTTATTGCAGGTAAATCATCACCAACCATCTGAGCACAGAGCAAGAGTTTATACAGCACCCAGAGGATGTCAGACACTTTATCTGTGTGTATCCACATCGCTCTGTGGAATACTCTTGTGCACAGATCTATGTTTGTGTCATTCACTGCAGCACGCAGGTACCTGGAGGATAAATCTTGCTTAAAGACAGGCTAAATGCAAAGCAAGCCAAGTGGAACATGGCAGGGGGGTGGGTTACACAGGCTGATCCCTCAGGAGCCATCCCTGGGGATGGTGCCCTCAGCATGGGGAGCAGGAGGTGCTGTCGGTCAGCACTGCCAGGTGGGAAAAGTGTACACAGGAAAGGGAGAGGAGATATCAGCCCTGCCCACACTGTGGTGAGGAGAAGCAATTTGCAGCCAGTTTAGCAGACTGTGGTCAGACAGACAGACAGACAGCCCCAGGGAGAGCCAGGAAGGAAGCAGCTGCTGCAGCTCCATGTGTGCTGCAGCCACACAGGGCCCTTTGCAGAGGGCCTTTTATTAAGTTACAAGATAGTAATTAATGCCAAGTTCCTCTCTTTATTTTTTCTGTGGTTGGGTTTCATAAGGGAAATTAAAGATAGGAGATAGGGAGCAGATTGCCTCTTGAAATACAGCTCCCTGGTGCTCAGTTCATGACTTCAGAGACATTGTCCAGCCCCATCTCCCTTTATGGAGATGCAGGTCAAATGCTGCTGAAATAGTCCTTTCTCTCAAGAGCAGATGTGCTTAGTCCAGTGCTGCACTGCAGGAAAGGAGCAAAAGGGGCAGAGAAAGAGTGAAGGAGACCTGTGCTCTCCATCCACAGTACAGCTGCTGTCCCTCACCCCCTGCCACCAGAGCTGCAGCCCAGCAGGTTCCCCTGCCAAGTTGGGAATCCACCATTTCATGCATGTGCTGGGTAATTTTGGAATTTACAGTACAGTCTGAGACATCCCACATGAGGAGGGACCACAATTGTGGGGTGCCCTTGTCTGAACCTGGAAGTCCAAATGACTTTCAGAGCTGTTTTTTTGAGCTGGAAGTGCATCATGAAATACCACCTGTTTTTTGGAATACATCCTAAGACTGCACGTCCTAAAATAGATTCTGTTTTCTTCTTCCGCTTCTGTTTTCATTAGCCCCAGGTTTTGACATTCTGTTCAGAGATATTTTCAGTATTGAATGCATTAAGATAACATAGATTCCAAATCAAACATCTCATTCAGCATATTTCCTATTTAAATTTTTCCTGTACATTTTCCCTGTAGTTATCTAAGGGTTGGTTTCGTTGTTTGTATCAGCTGTCTTGTGATAACTGGTTTTGCAAAAGAGCAAAAAAACGAATGCTTGTAGAGAAAATAGAGAAAATTTGTTGCTTGCACAGCCTTGTTTCAATTCAGTGTTCCTTCCGTCTTCTGAAGTTTATTGATCGGGAGAATGTTAAAGTTGTTGAATAGTTTGTTTTCATTTCACAAATGTGAATCAGGATTATTGCAGAAAAACAGGAATGTATTCATCATTAAGATTTGCTTTACACATTCATTTATTTTTTAATCTATAATTCTTATTGAACTAAGAAAACTCACAGGAATATATGTATCACCACCGAGAACAAAAAGAGCCTGATTGAGGCAGATGGAAGAGCAGCAAAGCACTTCACACAAGTGCAAAAATACAAACTTCTTCTACACTTCTTCTAATACTGAGAAACACTGGTTTTCCAGAGGTGCTGGGGGGATTTCCTGTGTGCTGAGTGGCTTAAAGACACTTGGCTAAGATACCAAATGCCACAGCCATTTAGAGCATGGGGTGTTTTTCAAGTCTTCTGCAAACAGATCCAAGCTCTGCAGCTCTCTGGTGTTCCTGACCTGGGAGTGTGGTGGCTCCCAGCGTGGCCAGGCTGGGTGTGCAGAGGAGACACAGCACGATGCTGATGCAGCCACATGGCCTCAAGTTTGCCCATGGCTCACATCTAACTCAGCTCTTTTTGTAAAGCCACGTGTGGCTCCATCTCAGGTCAGCTCAGGTTCTTGCTGGGACCACCTTGCATCTCTCCAGCATGGCAGGCTCATAAATTGGTCTGTTGCTCAGACTTTCCAAATGCACAGTGTTGGAGTGGCCCCTTCCCTCTTTTCATGGATGCTGTTGGGTTTGGTGATCACAAATGAGGTTATGTCTGGTTTTGCTGTCTCTCTTTGCCTCCCACTCCTCTTCTCAGGTCTCATATCATTATACTCATCCACTGTTGCAGATTGCCTTGTGTGAGCAGTGTGTGCCTGCCCTTCTACTCATTCCCTCCCACCAATACAACAAGTGTAGAGCTGGGCCCTGTGAGCTCTGGGGGTCACAGGACCAAGCAGCTGCAGGAGTCCATCCAATCAAGTAACATCTTTTACGCTCATAATGATAATTTCCCACTTTAGCAGAACACCCTGCTGCCAAACTCCAGTGCTAATGAGCCTGTCAGTGCATCAGTGCACTCCGACAGCATCGAGAATGTAGGGATTGTTTTTTGCAAGGCAAATGAAGACACTGATGATTAGCAAGAAACAAACCAACAATTCAATACATCACTGGCCACACATACCAAATCATTGATTTTCTGTCCTGCTGGGCAGCAGCTGTTGTATTTGCTCTGCAGAAATGGATTTTTTAATCCTGGAGGGACAAGAAAGGTGGATGTTTCTCCAAGAACTGGAGAACAGGAAGCAGCAGGCAGTTGCTTCCTGCACTGGGCATGGGCATGTTGATGGTGTCCTGAAGCTGCTGAGAAGTCTGATGGGCTTTCCACTATTAAATTCTGCTTCTGAATGCATGTGAATGCAGTGATTGGATCGGAAAAAAAAATCTCCTGTGAGAATCTGTGAAAATTGCAGGACAAAAAGTGCTGCCCTAAGACTTACAATCACTGAAAGAATTAGAAGTTAATCATAGATACCCTCACATAACTTCTCTCTGTCTACCAGTTACGTGTAATCAGCATCCTTCCAGATCATCCATCTCAGCAGTGTTGCTATTTCCATAATCCTCGCCTTGCCTGCCTGGATTGAAGTGAGCTGTCTATTCCACAGCATTTCTGAACAAAATGCATGCCCCCAGGTCAGTGGGGCCGCAGTCTGCTCTGCAGTGAGGTGTCCCTGCTAACTCCTCTTGCCTCGTTCCAGGGACCTACGTGATGACGGTGACGGCGAACGACGCGGACGACGCCACCACGGCCAACGGGATGGTGAGGTACAGGATCGTCACCCAGACCCCCCAGAGCCCCTCCCAGAACATGTTCACCATCAACAGCGAGACTGGGGACATCGTCACCGTGGCTGCTGGCCTCGACAGGGAGGTGAGTGTGACGCTGTCTCACCAGCGGTTCGGTGAGGGATGGGATGGGATGGGATGCGATGGGATGCGATGGGATGCGATGGGATGGGGATGGCTGGAGCAGCACAGGGCTCACCCTCAGCACTGTTTCAGGGTGAGCTGGCCCAGGGCGGACACGCTGTGTGGAGCAGCTTTCCAAGGAGAAGGTCAGGAGATCCGAGAGCTTTCCAGGTGTGAGGATAGGAAGCAGAGCTGGGGGAGCAGGTGAAACTCCAGCACCTGCTCCTTCCCACCTGATGTGGCAGACTCTGCAAGCACAACCTGGGGTGGATTTGACCTTTCCCTGCTCCTTTTTTTCCAAGAGCTGGGAAGTTGGCTGAATCTTAAGCAGGTGGATGATCCCAGGCAGTGCTGGAGCCTGCGGCAGGCCTGCAGTGCAAGAGGAGAAACAAGTGCTGGAGAGATTGCTGGCAGCCCCCAGGGGATGGTAGCAGAGTGCTCAGAGAAGAAATTGGAATTCTGGCAGGAAAATGCTGATTTTATGGAAATGAAAGAACTGTTACTGCCCCCCTGACATCAGTGGGGGCCAGCATTTGGATGCTGGGCTTTATGGGCAGAGAAAGGTCGTCGGTTTATATTAATTTCAGAAACACAGATTGGGATAACTTGGTGGGAGAGAGGTTTTAATCTCGGCAAATCAGCTCAGAAGAGAGGCAGGTGATAATTAGGGGAAAGGATAAGGCAGAATCTCTTTTATTGCTTCTCTCATTGCATCTGGAGTATTTTAAAAACTTGCAGGGGAACCATGTGCTTCGTGTGAGTTCCCTTGTGCACAGGGTCCAGGAAATCACAGCTGGCACATTGTGTGTGGAAATCTGGTGCTGAGTGTCCCAGGCTGAGTACAAGGGTGGGCAGGGGACACTGGGATCAAGGCAGAACAACCAGCTCTGGGCACAATCCTGGGGCTGCCCTGAAGCTACGGGGCGTGCTTATTCCCAGCTCTCTCTCCTGCTTTCAGGATTACATCTGGAATTGGCAAAACTTTCTGATTTATTAACCTAAAGTTATATTGCATCTAAGTTGAAAATTGTGTTTAAACTACCCCCATTACTGTACCACAGACTGGTTTTTTTGTTTTTGTTTGTTTTTCCTGAAAACTTGTGGAAGCTATTAAAGGAGTGAATTTGGGGTTGCTGCTGACATTTCCTTGTCGTTAGGAAAAGGAGACGAAGAGCAATATTTGGAATGCAGATTTGTGTAAATTAAAATGTTAACAAATCTGACCTATTCAGCTGAAACTCCTATAACCAAGATAAATTCCCTGGATACCAGTTATTTCTCCAAATGCTTATTGACACATTTATCAGTGCCTGAGACATGATTAAGTTAAGCTGTGGTGATACAGAATGAAGTTTTCAGTCTCCATTGGATCCTTCTCCCTTGTTTCTGCAATGCAAAGCAGGCATAAAAATAACTTCTGGAGCTATTCCATGTCTGAGAGACAGGTCCATGTTCCAGATCCAGCATTTGTCTTTCAAAAGGGAGAAAAGTCACTTCAGAACTGGTGTTCCTAGCTCAGCATTTCTGTTGCATGCTCATTGAATGAGATTTCCTGATGTTCTCAGCATCTCCACTTAAATATTGGTTCTTTGCTGGTTTCCTAAATTACCTTCAATCCCTGAAGAGATGAACTGGATGAAGTTTTAGCTTATTTTGTGTCAGGACAAGTGTTTTGTTTGACCTGTAAGAAACCTATTTAAAGACCAAGTCGGTATTTTTGCTGCTATTTCTAAACCCCCATTTCCACAAACCATGGAGGAAATTAAAAACTCAGCCTCTCAAATTATGCTGGTCTGTCCTAAATGTGCCTGACACTGAAGATAGCCCAATCAAAAGGCAAAGTATTAAAATATTGATGGCTTTAAAGTTATCTTACCTGGTTCCTATTAATCTGGATGTAAATATGGTGACAATGCTGTGTGTCCACTCACTCATTATGACTGCACTTAATTGAATGGATCCCCAAGGAAGATAAAGTTAATTGGACTGCACTTCATAAAAATTATTAAAGGAAGACAGTTTAGCAACAGCCTGATGTAAGCCTGGATGCCTGAGGATGAGGAATGCCAAGGGTGGAACAAAGGAACACCCATCCCTTGGACTAAGGGGGGAAATGATCGGGATTTAGGGTGATGAGAGGTTCAGAAGTGCATTCAGACAGCCAGGTTTGGATGAGAAGGTTAAAAGCAGATACTTGCTGCAGGAAAACATGGGAGTAGCCTAGGAAGTCTGCAGCTGATTTAATGAAATTAGGAGGGGAAAATCGCGTGATGGTGGGAGCACAGAATGTGTGGATTATAGGGAAGGCTGTGAGTGCATGAGATGAGCAGGTTGTGGCAGAGTTCAGGGGTAGGAAGGACCATGGCAGCTGATGTAATTTATGGCAGGCTGCTGCAGGAGTGGGTGGCACTACACGAGATGCTGCCAGACTGACGGCTTCATTTAGCAGCACGTCTGAATTCCACATTTCATTAATCTGGGGGGTTTTTTCCCACTGGGAAGAAAATTTCAAGAGATAAGAAAGGGTCAGGTGAGTCTCAGACACAAGCAGAACATTCATATTTTTGTTTTCCATCCTGAAAAGTAACATTTCTCTGTATAACCTTGCAAAAGTGACCAGCTCTGTTCCACATGTTGTTTTGTTCTTCCCACTCATCCCAGTGTCCCAGGTGGGATCAAGCCCAGACTGTCAGTCTGACGGTGCTCCTGGCGCAGTAACTCAACCCCATGACCAATTTTGATTTCTCTGGTGGCAGAATATCTGTCTCAGTAGCACAGTAAACCTGCAGTGGGGCTATAGGATAGGCAATATCATCCTCTGAAGAGCTTCCCCTAAATATTTTATGAACACGGACTTTGAGCAAGCAGGAGGAAAAAAAAAAAAAGGAATGAGAGAAAAGGAGGTGATTGATCCCAGGCTCTGCTGGCAGGCCAATAGATGTTGAGACATTTCAAATGTCACCCAGGTTTATTTGAGATAATAAGTGTTTCAGCACTGCGGTGCTTGTAGTATAATGTTGCTAACTTTTTGAGATGTCCCTTAGAAAGGAGTCCCTTCCCAGCACATTCATCTGGTGCTGGAGAAATGAAGACAGTCAGGAGCACTGAGTTGCTTCTTCCAAATTTCTGTATGTTTGTATTTCTTTTAAAAGTGATTGGATCTCTGCTGCTGCAAATGCTTTTAAAAATACATGAAATCCGATTCTGTGATTACTGCACTTGGCTCTCTGAAAACGTGATGTTGCTGGTCCTTCTCAAGTGAGTGAAAGATAAAAGGGAGAGCCTGCCAACAACTGAGTTAGAGGTTTATTTTATTTATGAATGAAATGGCAGAATTTTTGTGGGGAAGAGGAGAAGTTCTTCTTATTAGCAGAGACAGTTGATTTCTTTTCCAAAACTCTGGGTTCGGTGCAGCTACATATTTCTGATAGTGCAGAATTTGAAATGTTATGTTAAAGGAAAAAACAACAACAACTGTACCCTACTCCAAACACTGAGCAGGGATGGTTTTTGAGTATCTGCAGTAACTATTTTGGGTACATTTATCTCCAGGTCATGGCAATAGCTTTTCAAAACCTTCTTGTTCATTCAAATGCTGGTGGGGAGTAAACAAGGCATTGCCCTGGTAGAGGGATGACTTTAGCCATTGAGATTCCTGTGAAACATTCCCACAGACAGACATCCCCTAGTCTGAGATTACCCATATAGAGTGGGTTCAGTCTGGGTTTGCCTCTTCCAGCCAATCATCCAAGTGTGGTCAGCAGGTAACTCGGGCTGAGCCTGGCTTTCTGTACCAGGAAACTTCCCCCTGACAGTGGAGTCCAGCAGCTTCCAATCCTTCATCCACCCCTGGAATGCAGCAAAAGGAATTTATTCTGTTCTAAATAATAATTACCATGGCCCATGCTAATTATTTCCCTCACTGCATAATCACTGTGATGTTCTGCAGAGCTGTCTCTGCTCCTCTGAGCAGGGCTGGAGGAGCATCTGCTGCAGTGTGAGGCTGAGGGATCCCACACCACACCAGTGATGGATGAGTTTACCTGGGCACATTGTCACTCGTGTGTGTACTGACAGAATACAAGGAATGAGGGAAAGTGACATCTAAATGGCTTGACTGCATCCTGAGAGCTCCTGTTTCCATTTTCCTCAGTCGGATTAGCCTTCTCTGAGGAGCAGAAAGGAGTAATGCAGAATTGCTACAAGCATGTCACCTTCTGACATGCACAATCCAACATCCACCTTGTTTGCTATATGTATCTATTACAGGAGTTCTTTAAAATGAGAGGGATTCTGCTTTTCATGTTCTTGTCACTGCTCTTTCCAGAGAAGAACTAAAACAAGGTTGTTAGACACTGTGGAGCCATGAGTATCTTGCTTTTCAAGATGAACTTCCCATATCACTGCATCAAAACATGGAGAAAAATGCCTCCACAGCTGAACTCACAGGAGGAGAACCAGAGTGAGGGATTTGTAATTATTTTGCCAGCAAGGCACATCCATTTCTATGAATTTGGACCACGAGTCCTTGTATTTAGCTTCCAGACTTGCAGGCTCCCCAAGTGGCTGGGATGATGAAGGGCTGGAACAGACTTCCAGGGTTAAGTGGCTTTTCCACTTCTCACAGCATTCAGGCAGTGACTGGGAGTCCTTGTGGAACATGTCTTCAAGGCAGTTATAAACTACCAGAGGCTTAGCAGGGATAAGCAGGTAAAATACTTCAGCATCCTCTGTCAGACTGTGTTTTACCTGTGTTTTACCGTGGCCCTAATGTGTTTCTGTCCCTCTGCCACAGTTTGTCCCCTTGGTGTCACACAACAGGCTCTGCCCTCGCTGTCTGCCTGGCAGCCACGTGCCATCCCTGGGATTTGTGGAGCACAAAGTCACTCTGAGGGATGAAATCCACTCTGTGCACATCATTTCTGCTGAATACTACCTTATCCCTGATACCTTGTAATTTTT